CGACGAGGAGGTCGCCGCCGAGATGAGCAAACAGGACATCCAGCAGGAGAAGAAGGAACGGGACCCCGTGGTCGAGGCGTGAGAGCGGCTCCTGGGTTGACGGAAAAAGGTCACCTTCCTCGAGGACCAGCTGGCGACAGCGGAGAAGGCCCAGAGCATGCACGTGGAGACGGTCTTCGAAATGGGCCCCGAGGCAAAAGAGCTGCTGATGAGCATGAGGGCCGCCAGGATGCACGAGCAGCAGGTTTAACTCTCGAGCATCGTCGCGGCGCCCTTGGGCAAGGGCGGACGTGCGGCGGTGTCCCCAGTTTGGGCAACTCGCGCTCTGTTCCACGACTGAGGTGGAACGGGAAGCTGGGCCCCTGAGGTTGTGGGTGTTGGCTTCGCGTTCTCAAAGATGATGTTGGCGGGCTCAGTGGCCCGTGCCGCGAGGATGGCATCTTATTGAACCCTCTCACGTGAATCCATCCCTCCTTCGTCCTCCTCTCTCCTCCTCCCTTCTCCTCCCTCCTCCTCCCTCTCCGCCTCCTCCCTCTCATCCCCCTTGTGTTGCTGCAGCCCTGCTCACTCCCTGCATCCCTCCTCCCTCACCCATTGGCAATTACACCAGATACGGAACAATGAGTAGATTCCCTGAGACTTTCACATGCGCTCCACACCTACACTCTCTCTTTCTCACCCGTTCTCTCATTACTCCGTTTGCTCAAAATGCCCTGCCAACTCGGTATGTACTCGCGTTTTCGCTGCGCGCTATGCTTACCCGACAAGCCGGACTCAACCCATGCATAAGTTATGGCATACATCGATCTGTCCATGTGTTCAAATGTACGAACCGGCATGTGGGTGTGCAAGCAAGCAGCTGCTTATGTAGATTTACACGCACAGGTAAATGTATGTGCGTGTGCACATGTATGGGTAAGCAGATGTGTATGCCTATACGTGCATGTGTTTACGCAAGCGCATGCGTACGTATACGTACTCGTACATACACATGTAACTTTAAGTGTGTGTATGTGAATTTAGAGGTACATCTATATATATATATATATACACAGGGGGGTACTATAGTTTTGACCATAAGACGTCATGCTGTCGACGCCCCCTGCCCCCCCCCGTAGAATCTTAGCGACATGTTTCGGGTCGGGCGGCGGTTCGACTCCGATGGGCTCTCACCCTGTAAGAATAATATATATATATATACATTTAAAACAGGGTGATAATTACTCCGTCCCATTTACAGTAGGACCGGAAAACACTCCGACTTAAACCCATTCACAGTAAACCACTCCGCTTGGGTCACGTTTGATCGTCCGTGTCATCATCCCCATCGACCCTGTCCTTATCATGCCAACGCGATGTTTCATCGTATTCCTTGTTGCATTGATGCTGTGAGACCCTGGGCATCCTTCTCCAATGCGGTCGCTCTCGGTTCACTGGTTGGCCGTCCCAGAGGGCCCACAAAGGCTCGCGGATCCGCATCAAGGCACCTTTGCATCCTGATCGGTCCTCCGCGGCACGCGTGACCAGCGAGGCAATTCTCATCTTATGGTCAAGAACTTTAGTACCCCCGAAGTATATATACGCGAACGTTGTGTCTATAAGGATATGGATATGTATGTGTACATCTGTGTGCAATTACATGTTTGTGTACATGTGTGTAAAAGCGAAGGTTCATCAGTATGCAATTGCTTACGCATATACGTTTACATGTAGATATGTACTGATGCGCACGTGTACATATATATACATATGTATATATAT